AAATATATTGTCAGTATCAAGTCAGAATGTTAGTATGCAAATTTTTAAAATTCATTTCAATTTTCTGTGACACCAATGGGAAACATGGCAGGGTATGTTAGTGTCTTGAGAAACAGAATGAGCCTAAACCAAAAGAAATAGTAATTATGAATTCAAACATTTGGATTCCAGTCCTAGGCTTGTTTTACTATAGGATTTTGGGCAAATCCTCTCACTTTTTTACTTGATTGGGTGTTTTGCCAGCATATGTGTCTGTGCACCACATGTGTGTCTGGTGCCTGCAGAGGCTAGAAGAGGGAGTCAGATTCTTTGGAAGTGGAATTAAAGACTCTTGTGAGCTGCCATGTGGGTGTTTGGGAATCAGACCTGGAAGAGCAACAAGTGCTCTTAACTGCTTGCTGCCCTAACTCAGCCCCTATCCTCCACTTTTAAAAACCTTAGTTTGTTTCAGTTGAACAAAGGATAGACTAGTTATAGTAGTCTTTTCTTTCAGTCTGCTTTGGGGATCAAGTAGAACCTCTTCATGTGTGAAGTCTCTTTCTAAACAGAGCTGTAAAAATCATAATTATCATTAGGATTAATGACACAGCCCTTGTCAGCACAGCCATCTGCTTGTTGTGGCTGTCACTGTCAAAAGCAAGATGTGAAAATGGCCCAAGGGTATTTCAATTATATACACCTTCACTTTCATTCACACCTCAAGTTTTTTGTTTTTGTTTTGATGGTCTAGCTGACATGATTCAAATGACAAGCTGTCTTCTGGAAACCATTGAAGTAGAGGGCCAGAATGGATAGTGGGATCATATTAGCCAGTTTACTCTTCAAAGATGCAAGTTTAGGAAGTCTGACTTACAGAGGTAGTAGCAACGACTGCTTCAAGGCAAGGCAACCTCTAAGGCACTTGTAGTTGAAACCCTGATTTTTGTAGTTAATTGTTTTTGTTTTGTTTAAAACATCTCTATAGCTCAGGCTTGACTTAAACTCATGGTCCTCTCACCTCAGCATCTCAAGAGTTAGGATTTATCTGCATTCACAGGACTTGGTTTTGGTCATATCCCCCCCCCCCCAATTCTTTGAAATGTTAAGTTTCTCTTTTCTACTTCATAGCTCTTTCCCCATTCTGATAATAGTACATCTCTCTCCTCAGAGATTGTCCTCCTCTTTTAAAAGACAATATCTTAGATATCATAAGTGGGCCCAGTATAATCATGAGGGTCTTTAAAAGTGGTTTGTCCTTTCACAGTCCTCCTGTCTTGTATAAGAATTGCTGAGAATCTTGAATTACCTTGATTATTAGCTCTAGTTAATGCTTCATTGATGTCCTTTCTCTAAGAGATATGATTACTTCTCTTTTCTGTGATATTAGCTACAATGAAAGAAAGCTATGAGTCAAGTGCTCTCTATAGTGCCTTGTTTAATGTGCTAAATGGGTCAAGAAGCAGACAGTAAATCTTTTTATGGATGAGGAAACAATGCAGAGTAGTTAGCTTCCACAAGGTCATGCTGCTAGTAACCAATGACCCTGAGGCTTTATTGCACAATAAAGAGGAAACTTCTAAGGTATGTTTTTTGCACTTTTGCCAATTTATAAGGTCTAAAACTATTTTACCAAGTGTCCCACATTGCATTTTGAAAGTTGAAGACAACCGTGTATATAATTGAAACAGTGTGATTCTAACACACTTATAAGAAAGGACAAAATGAGATAATTCCAGCAAAATCTTAATTTGTAATCTCTTGTCTACATGTATATGTTATAGTTTCCCATTGCTGTAATCGCAGTGATCTGCTCTTTTAATTTTAATTGTGTTTTCTTGCTTTATGTGGTGTCTTTCTCATCATTATCATGTAGCTCATAGGTTGCTTCTGAGTTTTATATTGTCAAGATAATGCTAAATAAACAGCTTTTGTCTGGGATAAACAATTTAGCAAAGGAAAAAGGGTATCAGAAAGGTCCAACTCAATTCAGGAAACTCAGTAGTTAACCTAATAATCTGCTACCTGGAGGGGATAAAATAATCTGAGACATTACTGAGTGATAACCTAGAGCATGGTGGCATGTGTCTGTAATATCAGCACTTAGAATGATAAAGCAGGAGGATGGCAAATTTGACCCAGGCTGAACTATGTAGAAAACTCGTCTCAAAATAATGACGATTAGGGTCCAGTAAGATGACTTAGCATTAAAGGTGCTGACCATGCAAGCCTGGAGACTTCAGTTTGATACTCAGAACCCATGTAGAGGTAAAAGGAGAGAACCAATTCTACAAGGTTATCCCTCTGACCTGTACATACATGTACACAACATGTGCTCACACACATAAAATAATAAGATGGGGTCTGGCAAATGACTCATCAATAAGATGATTGCTATACAAACATGAAGACCTGATTGCAATCTCCAGTGTCCACATACAAGAGGGGTGTAGTGACACATACCTATGATCCTGGTACTGGAAAGGCAGACTAAAGATTGATCCCTGGAGTTTGCTAGCCAACCAGGCTAGCAGAATCTTCAAGCTTCTAAGTTCAGTGAAAGTCTCTGCCTGTAAAGATAAGATGGAAAGGGACTGAGGAAAGCACTGAACATTAACCTCTGGCCTCTATATGCATGCTTGGTTGTACAAACACACACACCTAATAATAGGTACATATACACAAAGTAACAAACACAAATCAGCTGTCCAGTTGGTTTGTGTTTTGAGGCAAGGTCTCTGTGTTACCCCAGGCTGGCTTCAAGTTCCTGGGCATAGGCATTGTTTCTACCTCAGTGGTTTGCTCAGTAACATGGAGTACAGCACACCTGGTTTGGGCTACCAGCCGGTTGGTTTTGAATCCAGATTCTGATCTTGAAATGGGACTCTGTCCACAGGTACTTGCTGCCTCTGAAATGGAGGAGACACTCTGTGGGAAGTGTGCACTTTGCCTGACACATTGTGATAGACAGACAGCTAGCAAATGTGAGTTCCCACCAGAGAAGTAACTTTGACCTGGAATTGAGTGTGCTATTTTGGTGCTGCTATTTGGATGAAACTTGACTTTTTTTTTTTTTAGGTTTTTACCTCAAATATACACAGTGCTGTGGATTTTCTACTCATGAAAGAAAAGACAGGTTGAATTTGATTATATTCATAAAACTCATTTTTTGCTGTGTTTTTGGAGATGATCTATCGTCATACTGCTAATCAAGCCCTCAGTCACTGAACTACACCTTCAGCATAAACCCTTCTACAAACTATGCATTTATTTGGGAACTGATCTAAAATCTCTGGCACCAAGTTCCAAGGACTGCTATCAAAATCCTAAATGCTGGGATGATGAAGACAGGCACATCCCTGCAACTGAATGGCCACACAGCCTAGCTGACTCCAGGTTCAGGGAGAGACCCTGTTTAAAAATATAGTGGAAAAGAACTGAGTAGGATACTTGGAGTTGAGCTTTGTTCCACATGCACACACACAGACATGTATACATACTTACACAAAAAAGAAAATATTGGGAATTTGTAAATAATAAGAAAATGACAAGTCTAAAATCAGGGTACTGATGGATTCTCTGCTGAGGCATGCTCTCTTTCTTGCTCCTTAGTTGGCGCCCTGTCTCTTCATCACCACACTGCTAAAGACCAAAAGTGTCAACAGATGTCAGGAATAATGACAGCATTCATGATGGTGGTCCTAAACATCAGAAGGGCCCGCTTTTCAATTATATTTTCATTTGAGTCAAAGTTTGGAGAGACACAGCTTTGAAATGATGTCAGGTGATTGTTACATAGTCTCTGTTATTTAAAGTGTTTTTAATCTGCTTTTTTGTTACATTATTTTTTTTTGTATGAGGCCCATTTCAGAATGCATTTTTCTGCATTTTAACATCCTTAAGAGCATCATGCATAGTAAGTCTGGATAGCATGCTTATAGGTGGTTCTTAGGAAACAATATTTTTTTTTTGGTTTAGAAATTCAAACCTAGGCCCTGGATACACTCCCACAACATTTTCGTTTTGGATTATTAAATAATTGCCTTTTTATAAACCTGTCTTGCTGTCAAGCCTTAGCTGGCTTGGAACTTGCTGTGTAGCCTAAGAAGATCTCAAAGTCATCCTCCTGCCTTAGCCACTCAGGTGTGGGAATTTCAGATGTGTCATTGCCAGTCTCTTTTAATGTGACCATAATAAATACTAGTAGTTAACATCATAAAAACTTGCTATGGGCAACCTTTAGAATTAGGCATAGTTGTAACAGTAAAAATTTAGAAGCAGTTTTTAAAAAAGCTTTTAAAAAGTGATACCTAGGAGGCTTAATTTGGAATTCATGCTGGTGTTTGGCATTGCTTATTTTACTGGAACACTTAAAAGAAAACAAAGTAGCTTAACACATGATACTTGAGTCTTTGAAACAGATCTGTTCAGTGTTGAACTGCAAAATAAGGTTTTTCTTGTATTTGTTCTTTGTCTTTGATAGTAATCTTGTTATTGTTTTCTCTGCGTTGATCATTGGTCAAGAGACTTGGCTCACTGACAGGACAGTGTGGACACTGAATAAGTAAAACTTAAATTCTTTACAAATTTCCAGATACGCAGCCATCCTAAGGTTTCCGCTTGGTTTTAAGACAAACTATGCTATACGGAGTCAAATGGGTATGTACTTGGAAGCAGCTATTCATGGTATTCTGTGCTGCAGGGTAGAGCTTCCCAGATACCAATAGTATAGATAGGAAGTGTTTGTAGGTTCATGTATGGTTGGGAAAAGAACTTTATACATTTTGATTTTTTTTCTTTAGAACAGAGGCCACTTAATATTTTGCCAAATTATGTGTTTGTATAAAAGCCCTGACCATTGGTTAAATGACCTTTGCTGCTTTGTGCATCTGTTTCTTCCAACTAATGGATCCTTCTTAAAGTCCTCAAGGTGATGTTCTTACCAGATACTGGCTTTATTGTACAAAGGTGTAATTTTATTAGTTAAATGTGTGTTGCTTTATTTTTTTTCTGAGTCTCACTAGGAATTGAAACTGAAGTTCATGTACATGTGAATACATAACTTCTTCCCGGTGTCATCCTAAAGACACTCTCAAAATCATGTAAGGATTATACTGTTTCTGTTTGTAACTGTTTTCGGGGAATTAATGGAGTTAGCTTCAATCTGGAGGACGGATGAGCTCATTTAGCAAGTTAACTGCTGGAGCCTTCTGTAGTTTTAGGATAGAGATGCCTTAAGAATTGACGTATCTGGGATACATATAGCCCAGATAGTACTTCAGAGACGTTCAGAACTGGCATTCAGCTAACCGTCCCATAGTTTGAAGATATATTCATCTCTAGATGTTGCCAAGGATCCTAATGTTGTGAGCAGCTTGGAACAGATTTGTGTGCTTGCTATGTGCAGAAACTCCTAGAACAAATGAGTGGGAAATGATACCAGGGTAGGAAAATATTGCTATAGTAACAACCTATTTTCTATATTGAAAAATAAAGCAAGAAGCAGTGACACTTAAAAAGAAATGATTTTTGCACAGAAAATGGAAAATAAGGGAAACAAAAGTCTTGTCTGACTCCTCCCTCCCTCCCTTTCTGAGACAGTGTCATAGCTCAGGCTAGCTTCAAAGTCACTAGCTGAGGATGCCTTTGAATTCTTTAAGTTTCCCTTTCTCCACTTCCAGAGTGATGGGATTATTTATGTATATGCACCACCATGACTGCTGTATGTGGTGCCATGGATGGAATCCAGGGTTCGTGGCACTCTACCTACCAACTAAGTTTCAAGCCTCAGGCCCCGAGACTGCTTTTTGTTAAGTGTGATTTAAAATGTTGTCTTGAGTGATTTTTGCATTATTGGGTTTGAATAAAATCACTAGAGAAGTTGAAAAAAGCAATGACATTCCATTTCTCTTCATAATATGTCAGTTCCACAGTATGTTCTTCAGATGAAATTCAGCATTAATTGTATTGCTTTCATTCTCTATATAGGTGATGAGATTTGAGCCTAGAGCTTCACACATGCAAGGCATGTACCACTAAGCTATAACCTCAGCCCTCAAGTAGCCCTTGGTCATGAGTTTGTTTAAAACAAACAAGAAGCAGGTTGTCTTTCACCTGAGTTTTATTTCTTTTTTTTTTTTTTGTTAGGTTGGGGAGCCACATAATCCCTTTTGATTTTGAACTACATAAAATTATGCTTTTTGTTCGTGTGTGTCACTAAGGATTGGACTCTGGTCTTCATACAGTGCAAGGGCATTACCACTGGAGCTATGTAACTACCCCCTTCCTTTTCAATGCCATCCACTCCTAATGTTCTAATCTCATGACTGCAATTAGGCCCATCTAAGATTTTGTAGCCTGCTAAAAATACACTGCTCCTTGAATTTCTGATGATTTTTACCACCAAGGTGGGTATGGGCCCTGTGTGCTTTTAAGTGCACTTTTAAATTGCCTGAGTCTTTATAGTGCACAGTCAGGATTAAAGTTCCTTCTGTACTCTTGCTGCTTAACGTCTACAGTCTTTGCACGTTCCTAAGAGGCATATTCCACATGTTGTGTTGAGGGTGTGTACACAGACATGTGGAGGCCGGAAGTTGATGTTGTGTCTTCCTCGATTGTGCTCCATCTTATCTTTTGAGACACTATTTCTCACTGAACCTGGACCTGGCTTATGGGAACCACCATGTCTGCCTCCCCAGTGCTGGGATTGCATTTTCCTGGTGCCATGTTCATCTTTTTATGTGGGTTATGACTTAGGTGAGAAGCTATTAACTGAATCATCTTCCTGCTCTGCTTGGTTTTCTTAGGGTCTATCATGAGCCTGCAGTCTTAGCATCTGGGGCTTATCTATAAGACTGGTGCCATTGGTATAGATTGCTGAAAGAAAGGCTGATCTCAGTGAAGGGAACAGGATATCCCAGTCTCAAAATCTCCCCCTTCCCCAAAAACCCACTAATTGTGCCTTCGTATGTGATCTTTTCAGCAGAGTTCTTCAAAGGCTTGCAGAAAAATGGAAGCTGCCGGCCTTTTTAAAATTGAATAAATAAAGCACAGTTGAAAATGTATTATTCATGTAAGTAAGTGTGTGTGTGTTTAAGAGTTATCAGGATAGAATGGCAAGCACTTCTACCTGCTGAGCCATTTTCACCCCTACCAACCTTTCTTAAGAGTAAACCTATGACTAGCAGGGTACTTTTGCTCTAATCATTTAAAGTTAGCAAAAGCATTTAATAGGGGATTACAGAAGGACACAAATACAAGGATCCCTGGACTATTGTGGCTGGCTTTGGAGCTAAGCTTCTTTCCCCTTTTCTCTGAACTTTTGCTTAATTTCTCTGTTTCCTTCTCATTCATTCTAAATACGTTTTTTTCTAGACTAATCCGCTACTTTCTTCATCCATTGGGTTCCTGAGGGTTTTTTTTTCCCCATTATTATTTTTGGTTAAGAAGTCTGTAGTGATGCACCTGGCTAAGGAAAGTTAGCTGCCAAGCTGAGAGCGAGAGGCATTGGAGCTGTGAGGAGAGAGAAGTTGGGCCAGTAAAACCTACTGTTGTCTGGTCAATATGTAGTAGCTCACTTGGGGATGGTGGTCATAGCTACAGTCATTGAGATGGCCATGCTGGTCTCTCACTGTCCAGAGTGCTTACTTGGTATTAAATAACTTTAAAAATGAGGTCAGTTTGACACTGAGAACTGTACGGGGAGGTCCTACTGTATCACATGGTGGGTGCTTTAAAGTTTCAAAGCACTTTTGTGTGCAGAAGAACCTGAGGAAAGATTTGATACAAGATAGATTAACTCTCGTTCAACATAAAAAGCAAGGTTTCTTGTATACATCCCTGTTCATTCCTGTCCTCATTCAGTCCATGTCATGGTGACCTCCTCTTCTTTTCCTTTTATTTCTTCCCCTCATGTACTTCCATTGAAGTTATTTGTTCCTGCCATCAGTGGGTGACTGTGAACTCTTGTTCATTCTTGGTAATTGCTTTTCTTCTTTTTTATTATGGTGAGGTGACCTCTTTCCAGCAGGCAAGAAGGGACGAGAAGAGGAGTTTGTTTAATTATCACATCCAGAAGTTACCTTGAGATTTAGAGCTGTAAATTCTAAATCACCCAGCATGAAAAATAGTCCTCACTGAAGTAGAATGTACCGGTGGCTGCCTGGGTGCTTAATGGGTTGTAGTGATGACCAGAGTCATGTGGCTAGATGGGAAGAGCAAGGCAATGGAGTCTATTGTAGATGGGGTGCTGTAATGCAAAACTCAAAGAGCATGGATGTTAATTAGTGTTCTCACCACAAAAGTGCTACTAGCTGTATAAAGAAAGGCATTTGGCAACTAACTATAGTTAACCATTACACAGGATGTGTACTTTAGAACATGATGCTGTGTAGGATAGATAACAGTTTTATCAGACAACTAAAAAATTAAGAAATAAGACATACACATCATCCCCCTGATGAAGCTGTGCATGCTCTAACCATTAAGTGAGGAAGCCTGAGATTTCTTTTGCTATTGATAGGAAGATGGAGAATTATTATTGTCGCCGACTCCTTACTCCTTAGTTTTGGCTTTTTTTGAGACATTTTTGGATGTAATTATGGCCCAGGCTGGCCTTGAATTCTATAGTGTTTCTACCTCTGCCTCCTCAGTGGAGATGACACCAGAGTGGACTTTGCTCTTTTACTCAAGGCTCTTACTCAAGCACTGGAGTGCTGTATATAAGCAGCAGAAATTGTCCCGAATTATTCTTGTCAGTAATTTAAACAGTATCTCTAGGGACACAACCTCCTTCCTCTTTGCAGCTTTGGGGTACACATGTTGCTCCTAATTTTTGAACTGTTTATCATGTACTACTGTACTTTGGTGCTGGAGAGAACCCCAGGGCCTTGTGCATGTCATCCAAGTGCCTGCCCAGTCACCCACATCCTCAGCCTGAATCTGGGGACTATAGGAGGCTTGCTCATTTCATCTTGCATCCTTAAGTCTTGTTCTCCATGTCTCTGTCTTTATTCATCAGACTCCTGGTAGTGTGATACACAATAGGCACCTCCTGCAGCTTTTTCTTGTGCTAGTATCTCCACTGAAGGCTTTCCAGGGTAATACCATTATAGGCTTTTGTTTTTTTCTCTTGTACCTCTGGGGCCGAGCTCCATATTGAGAGTGGCAGTGGGTATTTCTTCATTGAGACAGCTGAAGTAGGAAAAATCATGGCATGCCCATATATACATATCAGAAAGCAATTTTACTTCTGTGTTTTGTCTTACAACATAATAAGGGGTGTACATATCACAAACTAAGCAAATACCCTTCCTGTCTTGTTCATGGCTTCACATAGTTAAATAAGTAATCTGGGTAAATGTTCTGGGGAGTGTGTTTGTGAATCATAGAACCCCAATGCCAGGGATTCCCAGTCTACTGGGAAACTGACTTATTTTGTGATTTCCAGGCTATAGAAATGTGTACAACATTGCTGTGACAGGAGCAACAGCATTGAGCATGCCAAGATCTAGTAAGCAATTTGAAGTCTCAAGAGGAAGGCTTAGGTAAGTTTGCTCTGCTTTTTTGCTCCATTAGCCCTTGATTATTGTTCATAACAAGAGTGATTTGTGTAATTTAGAGAAATGCATGATGGATCAGTGTTCAGTGAAGAGGTGTGGTAGAGGGGGAACCCAGGCTTGAAGCAATGAAACAGTGGGATTGTGGCTAATAATGTTTGACTAGCCCTCCCTCTCTCTGTCCACAAATGAATGATTTACTTTGCTGCCTTTGCTATAATAGCCACAGTGTTTACTTTCCAAGACTGTCTTGTGATGTATCCTTTTTCTAAAAGCCACATTTGATTGAGAATCCAAATCAGCATACCATGTATACCATTTGAGAAAAATGTCAGGCTTCCTGCTGTAAAAATGTCATGTGTGCTTAAAATGACAAAGTTTGTCCCAAGCAGTAGTTTTATATGTTTTATAATGATTTGTTTTGAATCTTCAAAGCAACTTAATTTTCACTGTTTCATTTTCAAGAAGACATCAGCCAAATATCTTTGTCTTTTTATTTTTTAAATATCAAAATGTTGAACTGCAGGTTTAGCAAATATACAATGGAGAACAAAGGTGGTACTTTTTTTGTTTTTCTTTTACCATGACAGATAAATGTAAGGTCAATTTGTCATCTGAATTCACATTATAATGTTTCATGTTCACCTGGATGGGCCATGGATCTCAAAATGTTTTCACCCTGGCAAATCAAGCATGCACTTTAAACAAAGCCCTTTCCCCCAATCTCCTAGCAACCACATTCTACTTTATTTTTAAATGAGTGTCTACTTTAGATTTCTCATTATAAGTGGAATCATGCATATTTGTCTGCTTCTGTCTTGCTTGTTTTAATTGGCATGATGTCTTCCAGGTTCATCTGTTAATTAAAAATGATGAAATTTCTGCCTTTTTAAGACTGAGTGCAACCCCCCTTCCCACACTGTGTATGTGTATGTGATGTGTTCATGGGCGTGTACCCCCAACCGCATTTTCTTCATTCATTTGTGAAGTTACTGCTGCTTTTTCTCAAATGTTCTTTTGAAAACCTTTCTTGGAAAATTAACATATAGAGAACATAGAAAAATCAAATCGAGTCACACATGATAAATGGAATTTCCATGTGTGATTTTTAATATAGGATATTCCTGCTTGGATAATATGGAAGCCACTCATCTGAAATTCTAGTGTAAGTGGTTTAGATTCACATTCCTCCCATACCCATCTCCCCACATGCCTTTTGGGCTCTTCTTAGAATTACATTTTCCCAGACTGTACGCTAGAGGGGCAGATGAAAGCAGTTCAGTTGCTACCTGGCGAGCATGATAAATGGTGATATTTTCTCCTGCAGTTGTCTGGGCCTCACTAGAATGTATTGCAGGCAATAGGAGGCAAAGGGACAGGGCAAGAATAGGGGCTCTTGCAGCCAGGAAAGGATAGATGACTTATGAGTTCATTGGGGCTTGTACTGGGTTTTCCCACTGGGTGCTGTGGGGTTTTTTTCACAAGTCTTCTGTATGGATTTTATCTCCAACTCAGAGAAGAGATAGGCCTGCCTCCAAAGAAAACATGTTGATAATAGGCTCTGTGATCTGATTTTAAGTCTGAGAAGTGTTGTTACAGAATCAAAAACTTCAAGGAACATACCCACTGGGGAAGAATTGAAATGCTGTCCCTTTCTCTATTTCTTCACTTTTTTTTTTTGCATTTTATAAGCAAATGGACTAGGCATGCTCTTATAGCATCTGGGGTGGTCCCTGTTCTCCCAGGCACTTTAGTGCCTGGCAAATAGAATCTGTGAGAAAAATCTGCCTTTGTCCTCTCTGTCTCTTATTGGGGAAGCACATGCGGTTCTAGAGTGCTGGAGGGCCACTTTTTCCTTGTGCTGCTTAATGGGATGGCTCTAAATTAAAGTGAGGTTGTGCTAGTGCTAGAGAATGCTTTCTTACTGTTTGGACTGTGTGCCTTTCTTTGTCGATGTCCTCCTAGGATAATAGCAAGGCAGGGCCTCCCCCAAATCATTGAGGGAGTAGGAAAGTTGCAAAAGGTTCCCAGGGTCACAGTAGGAGCAAGTCTGTGGCAGTGACACCTGCTTTGTTCCTGTTGACAATGAGAAGGAGAAAATGCTTTCCTAAAGCCCTGCCAGCTGATAGGCTAGTCAGCTGATTCTTATTCTTCCAGTCAGGTGAGGATCATGACCAATCATCCTCCAAAGTGAGGGTGATAGGTAGGAGCCATGGGCCCCATTGACGGACGTATTCCAGAAGAAACTTTCCTTTGAGACACTGTCTCACTGTAATCCAGGCTGGCTGCGAATTCCGAGCAATCATCCTGCTTCGGTTTCCAAGTGCTGAGATTACAGGCATGAGCCCATGCTAGGCCCAGAAGAAATAATTCGAAGAGTTATTAATTTTTGAGGCAGGGTCTTACTATGTAGCCTAGACTGTCCTCAGACTTGATTTGTACGTCAGTCTCCTGAGTGTATGCCATCTCTTCTGGATTAGAGAGATATTTACTAAGTCTGTTCCATTTTGTGTATGTGTCTTTTTATTTTTTGGTTTTCAAACCTGGGTTTTTCTGTGTAGCTTGGCTGTCCTGGAACTTGCTCTGTAAACCAGGCTGATCAGACTCTGCTTCTGGAGTGCTGGGATTAAAGGCATGTACCATGGCTGACTATGTGTATGTATCTTTAAAAAAATACATGATCAATCTTTGAAGAATTTTATGAGTGTGAATGTGCCCCACCATCTTGCTGTCATATATAGACTTGTTTTAACAAATGCCTGTGCATCTCACCATAGATTTCTACCCTCTTGCCTTATTTTACAGCTTACACTTATTTTAGCCCTTATTTCAGGAGAGAGACGAGTAATTAATTGAATATTTTGCTAGAGTTCATGTGAAGGGGCTTCTTGCTTTTTGCTATTTGCAGGTTTTATGTATGCTAAGACATGTAAGGAGAAACTGTCCTGTCATAGTGTTGTAACATGTGAAAATCCTCCCTTGGTTCATTATAGCATTTTCCTAAAGCACAATTTACAATTCCATGCAGTTCTTGATGGCATTTGTCCATGTAGAACTAAGTGATGTCCTTGCAATAACAGATTGCCTTAGTATTGTAAACATTAGGAAAACTGGGAGTTCTCGATAGTGCTTTTATTACTGCTGCTTTCACTGGAGAACATTGCGTCGTCATTTGTTTTCACTGTCACACCTTTGCTGTGCCAGGCTGCTTGGGTGGTAGAAAAGGAACCACGAGTGTGGGTAGGTGAAGAACCTGCTCCCAGTCTTCTTAAAGGGCAGGTGGGAGGTCAAGATTTGGCTTTGCAGATACTTAGTGTGTATATTTGAATGCTAGGTTCTGAGAGTACAATAGCTAACCTTAGGATGGGGTCTCCCTTGGGGAGAGAAGAGGGTGTAGGATGGTTTAGGAAGGATAACGATTCCAGAGACTAGAGAAACTGATAGGTAACTTCTGTGGTTCTGGGAGTTTTTCTTCCGTTTCTGTTTCTGGTGGAGCATCTGCTTTGAGGCAGATATACTCCACAAGGTCTCTAGGGATTATTCATCGTGGGGCCCTTTTCTTTCACTCTAGTATGCTGGATATGGTGATGACAGGGTTGGGGAAGGCTTTGTAGATGAAAAGTTAAATTGGAGCAGGTTTCGTTGAACCTTACTTGACCAAAAATTTTAAAAACCAGAAGGAACCCTGTCTTGGATCATTTCCCATTCCTTGAGTAGAGCATTTTTTTCCCCCTTTGAAAAAATGGGACTCAAATACTTACTACGTGAAAAAAGTGATAAATCATATGAATATGCAAGCTGTTGCTAATAAAACACACGGAAGAAAGTCTGAATCTGAAGGTTAGTCCCTAAAACCCAGGTGTCCTCCTTTTCATGGAGAAGCATGTGACCAAGAAGAGTTGCATTCCTTTTACTAATTGGGCTCAGGTTGCAGTTTAGACCACAGACGGACAAGAAAAGCCCAGCAGGGTTTCTTGGGTATAGTTACTCATCCTCTCAAATGTTGTTAAATACCAAAGGGAAAGGAAAAACAGAAAGGAGAGGGGATGGTTGGTGGTTTAAAAACTGGTGACTAACCAACTTGTGCTGACTAATGCTGGTGAACTCGTAATGAGTAACAGTAATGAATTTAGAAGGGCTGTAAGCAGAAGGGAGCTATTTAAAGGTTGCTTTTATATAAAAGGTAGCCAAATTGTTGGTCACAAGAAAGGATTCTCTTTGGGGAACTTGAGTAATTCTCTGTTCCATAGCCAGGTTCAGCTTTATTAAAAAATTTTTAAGGCTAGATATTGTGATTCTCCTGCCGCAGTCTATGCCTTGTACTAATGTACCCAAATTCCAGTTCTTTTTTTTTTCATTTTTTTTTCAAGATAGGATTATTCTGTGTAATAGCCAAGGCTGTCCTGCAACTCACTTTGTAGACCAGGCTTGCCTTGAACTCACAGAGATCCTCCTGCCTCTGTCCCGAGTGCTGTGATTGAAGGTCTGCACCACCACTACCTTGCTCCAGTTCATTTATAAAAAATTATTTTGTGTATAGTTGTTTTGCTTATGTGCATATCTGTGCACCATGTGCATGCCTGGTGCTCTCGGAGGCCAGGAAAAGATTTTAGATCTTCTAGAACTGGACTTACAGATGTTTGTGAGCCACCATGTGGGTGTTTAGAATTAAAAAATCTGGGTCCTCTGGAAGAGCTGATTCATGTCTTCAATCTCCAGTTCATTTTTAAGTACTTTAGTGGCTTAATCTGTAAAATTAAGAGATTGGACACTTTTCCATTTCATTCAAGTTTAGGCCTTTGGAAGTAAGTAGGTGAATAGCATGAATGTTTTTGTTTTTATTAGGATACCCTGAAATGGTTGAATTATAATTTTTGATCTCTACTGATCATTTTTTTGGCCAGGAGAGGTGTCTTACATCGCGAGAGACTTGGAAGCAAGCGGAAAGAGGCTGGCTACTTGCTACTTTACAGGGATTATTTCCTGTC